CCCACCTTGGGCGATGAACCACACCAGGAGCCCATTACGTAATGGGCTCCTAACCAATGTACCCCAAACCTCTGACCTCCTAAACTTCTTTATAAAAAGTTTAACCCCCCTCCCCCGCTTCTAGCCAATCTGAAATAGCCTTAAACAACTCCTTTTTTCACTTTCCCCCTCTTGATAGATAATGAACGGTTCGTTAATTGGCAAATTTTCATATCTAACCATCTTAAAATACAGAAAGAAAAGAAAATGAAAGAAACACAGCTGACAGTCCTACAAGCAATTATTATGACAACATTTTTATATTTGAAACAGAAGCTGTTGACAACGTGGGCTTGATGCCTCGTTCTCGCGCGGCATTTGCATGATGTAATACCATCACGTAATCAAAACGTGAAGACGGCAAGGAAACAGAAGAGGCCTGGCAGGTAGGTGCCGGATTATCTTGAACCCAGACCATGCCTCACAAGTATGATCTGGGCACAAGAATGAAGTGGGAACACCAAACGTACCAACATAGAAAGGAAAACACGACTTTTTTTTTCTAAAAATAGAATTTTTTAATTCAGTATAAAAACGTCGTCTTGGATACACGTACAAAATAAATGTAGCTATTAAAGTTGTTGACTGCATGAAAAAAGAAATAAATATTACAGATGGCCGATGAAGCAATCCGTCATATTACCCTATAATACAAATATGATTTTATAATGCATACATACAAATACTACAAAGGATATCGATAAACTTAATTTTGTTCTGAATTTTTTATATAAATTAGTATTTTCCTCTGAAAAGAAATTTTAAACGTCTTTTCTTTAAGGAAATTTTTTACGCAGTGTAAAATATGGACCAAAAAAACTGGTCTGTTATCTCATAAATTGTTATTAGCAGCACGAACAGCCCTCAAGGCCATTTTCCACACACAAAAAGTTTAATTTAGTTAATTCGTAGGCACACCTTGTGTAGCCTACACGAAATAGTTTTTCCGTAAAACTGACATGTATTGTTTGGACGATGCGGTCAGCGGTCCGTATGAACCGCTGTCCCCATCACTTAACAGGCTCGGCTTGAGATCGAGGTCTGATGTCAAAGGAGCTAAAAAAAAGAGAGCAATTTTAATATTATGGAAAAGCATATCACCAGCATGATATCGAAAATTGCCTATGAAAACGTTGCGTAACACCGGAAGTCACGCGACATCACTCACCGGAAGTATTCACTTGTACTTCTAAATCGGAAAACTACTTACCACTTTCCAAATGACGCTTGATACTTTTGTTTAGTTCATCCTCCACAGCCTTCATTAATTGCCCGTCCCCCTAAACCGAAGACCACAAAATATTTTACTATACATCCATCTAGATTTTTGAAGGAAAAATGCAAATTTATCTCGATGAGATAAAACAGAGAAAGTATGCACTTGAGCCAACATGCGGCCAGTTCAGTGCAGCTTTAC